TGCGCCTATCCGCTCGCCTGCGCCGAGGCCCGTCCGCTTCCGTTTGGTTTTGTTTGTTTATTTAATTTTGAGACCGAAAAGGCCTTGAATGTCTTCCCCTTTTTAATCACGGGGGTATTCGTCTTTTACAGGATATTCAGTGTATTTAGCTCACAAGTGTAAGGGAGCGGGTGTCCCGTCCCTGGCCTACAGCAGTGCTCGCTCTGTCAGCAGCGGGATTGCTGCCCCCAGGAATAACTGCGCTTGCTTTAAAGATGCTCCTTTAATTCTTGTTTTAGTAAAAAGTTGCAATGAGGTAGTCGAGCTATGATGGATTTTATTTTTTTAAATTTAAGTTTACTTCATAATTTTGTTGAAATGGTCTAAAATTCCCTTTGCTGCTCTGGGGCTGCCTTAGCTCCAGAAGGCCTGGTGGTGTTGGAGAAGGCCGAAGAGTGCACTTTGCTGAACCAAGTAGTTATGGCTTTGGTTGTGCTGAGGAAATGAGCCTCTTCAGGAGAAGGGCTACCTTTGCGTGTGTATTTTGTGTGGGTTTGCTGTTTGCGAAGGGAGGTGTTGTAGTTTAACTGCTATCTAATGCTCACCTGAAGTGTTGAAAGCCTATCGTGTAAATCCTAGAAGTTAAATTTGTATCAGGTGATCCCTGAAGGAGCCAATCCTGCAGTCATGAGTCAGGTTTTCCAGCAAGTTAAAGTAGTTGCAAGACTGGGTTTTGGGATGGTCAGAATTGGAGTATGAGCCTGTTGGTGTGAGACACTCAGAAATATGGTATTTTAATGTTTCTTAACATGCTGGTTACCCTCTTGTCACATACAAGGTACACTGGGAGAGGAAATTGAAAACTTAAGTACTGTTTCTAAATGGCACATCTTAAATGTGTCGCTGCCATATGTCTTCATTTTTTATATATTCTTTCTCTAGCCATACTCTCCTTCTCCTCCCTCCCTTCCCCTGGGCAGAATAAAGGTAGACGTGCTGAAGTACCCAGCAAGCTTGGTGAAGTAGCCCACAGGGAAAATGTATGATGCCTCAGCAGGGCTACTGGCCTTATTATGGTTCAGGAAGTTCTGTGTCCCTGAGTCATCTTGTGGCTGTGGTATTTGTGCCATTCAGTAGCCCTGGGCAACTGAGTGTGTTAGACTCAGGCTGTGCTGTGGGCAAGCTGTATATGCCAGTCTGTCTTGGTAACAGGAATGTAGGTACCTTGTTTTAAGTGAAATACAGTGAGTGAATTTGAAGGAAATTGGGAAAGGAGGACTTGTCAGAAAGGTTTTTTGCTGTTTGTATATGGTGTGATATGTAAGCAGATTTCAGTGACCATAGATTCTTAGGCCTCTATCTAAATTGGCATAGAGAAATAGGATTTTTTTTAATGATATTGGCAGTATTCTAGAGTAAAAATAGCTCCATCTGGGGAGCTATTGCTATAGAATAGTTTCCCAGAGCAAACTGGTCAATCCCTGTGCAGACAAACTGTTTGGAGAATGTTTTTGAGGCAGATCTCAAACCAACCTCTACCCAGCATCTGTGTGTTTGATTCTGTAAGTGTAAGTCCCCCTTTGTAATCGGCATCATGTCCACTCCTTAGCTATCAGCACTGTATGCAACATGACTTGCATTTGTGAGCCTTAAGTCCTGTTTCTGCAGACGTGCATCTCAGCAGCCTTACGAAGTGGTGAACTCCAAGTGTTGCAGCCTCTGGATCACAGAATCTGTCTTTGGGGATGGCTGTACCCTTGAGCTCTCCCACTCAAGTCCTTAGGAATCCATGAGACAGTTACTCCGGGCGTGAAGTTGTGCTTAACGTTCTGTGTGCTTCTTTCTCAACACAGGCGCTTTGATTACCGTCCAAAACCTGATCCTTACTGCCAAGCTCGTTACACCTTCTGTCCCACTGGCTCTGCCTTTCCTGTTATGAAAGAAGAGGATGTCATTGAAGTGTATCGATTACAGGCTCCAGTATGGGAATTCAAATATGGGGACCTATTAGGACATTTGGTAAGGTGGTGGTTTTGTTTGTTAAACAACAAGTTGTAGTGGCAAATTCAGCTGAATTCAACAGCAGGTGTCAAGAACGGGAGCTGTAAGGTTGCGATACGCTTGTGTGGAAGAGTATTGGAGTACATAAGCTAGCTACCTATAAGAACAATGCCCAAACAGCAGTAAGTTTCAAACAGAAGTTACAGAATTCAGCACAGCTAAAGAAAAGAGCATGACCAGCACTCTTGATGGGTTTGTGTATGTTCCTCCATGGAGCTGCATATTAGGAGCATTTTGCATACACACACCATTACATTTTGGGTGTCTCTCTTTTTCTTGATGCAGTGCTAGTGCAGAAAGACATTTATTTGTCCCCTTATGTCAGATGAAATCATAGAATCATCGAATCCTAGAATAGTTTAGGTTGGAAGGGACCTCTAAAAGTCACCTAGTCCAACCCCCCTGCAATGGGCAGGGACATCTTCAACTAGAGCAGGTTGCTCAGAGCCCCATCCAACCTGACCTGGAATGTTTCCAGGGATGGGGCATCTACCACCTCTCTGGGCAACCTGTGCCAGTGTTTCACCACCCTCATTGTGAAAAATTTCTTCCTTTCACCTAGTCTAAATCTGCCCTCTTTTAGTTTAAAAACATTACCCCTTGTCCTATGGCAACAGGCCCTGCTAAAAAGTCTGCCCCCATCTTTCTTATAAGCCCCCTTGAAGTACTGGAAGGCTGCAATAAGGTCTCCCCGGAGCCTTCTCTTCTCCAGGCTCAACAACCCCAACTGTCTCAGCCTGTCCTCACAGGAGAGGTGATCCCTGATCATTTTTGTGGCCCTCCTCTGGACCCGCTCCAACAGATCCATGTCTTTCCTGTGCTGAGGGCTCCAGAGCTGGATGCAGTACTCCAGGTGGGGTCTCACCAGAGTAGAGGAGAGGGGCAGAATCACCTCCCTCTACCTGCTTAGTGCTCACTTAGTGTATTAACTTTTCTGTTGTTAAAAACTTACATATTTGCATGAACATGAGTATCTGTAGTCAGAATGGTGGATCATGGGGAGTTGGTTCCTTTTACAGTTCTCTCTTGAGTGTTATGATCAGTACTGAATTAAAGTCTCCATTCATGGATTCATGCAAATATGGAAGAATCTCAACTTTAGTAATATTTATAGCTATAGCAGTCGCATAATTAAGCTTCAAAGGTCGATCCCTAATGAATAAAGAAATACTAATGAACATGAAATAGCAACATCAAAACCAAGCACACAGGGTAAAAAATGGAAAAAACTATATTTAAAGTTTTCTCAATTGTTAAACTAGGGCTGAATTTATGTATGTATTATACAGATTTTAAAATAAATATTTATCTCATTCCTTTTGTGGCTTTCATTACTAACATTTGTTTCTGGTAACCCAGTTCTGCTCTTTATTTCTTTGCTACCCATGTGAGGTTAAGGATTCAAAAGCTTGAGTTTCTATGGTAAGTATCTGTCTCCAAATAACAGAATTTACAATGAATGGATAGACAAGCATGGAGACAGTGTGACTGATAAAAGTATGTGTGTGATAACAGTCTAATATGTTGTGCATCAGTGCTACTGAATCCAATGTTACACAGGAGCTCCCAAGCGTCTTATCTTCTCTACAGGTCAAGCTGAAGTCAATTTTATGTTAAAGTTCTGACTTCTGAGGCATGTTTTTTTTGCTTTTGCAGAAAATTATGCATGATGCTGTGGGTTTCAAGAGCTCTCTAACGGGCAAAAACTACACAATGGAGTGGTATGAGCTCTTCCAGCTTGGGAACTGCACATTTCCGCATCTCCGGCCTGGCATGGACGCACCATTCTGGTGCAACCAGGGAGCTGCCTGCTTTTTTGAAGGAATAGATGATGCACACTGGAAGGAAAATGGAACTTTAGTTCTTGTGACCACAATATCAGGTAGATTTCAGATGCTTTGGATGGTGCAAATATCAAAATATAGAGACAGCCTTGTCTTCGTGTAAAGCAGTATCTTTTAATTTGTTTTGTAGATTATTTGCAGTGTTAGTCACCAATACTAATTTCAATCTGAAATGCGCTCTCTGCACTTTCTTTAATACAGAAGGGGTATGAGGCTGCTGCCTTTTGAACAACGCACACTGAAGAGTTCTTAAATGAGGGTCATTTGGTGTTGCTGTACAAAAACACTTGAGTCCCTTGAGTGTAAAAATAGCAAAACAGCTTATACACAACCGTAATGGACTCTTTTCACATGGCTTCACCAAAACAAAACCTTCTATTGTGAAGTGGCAGATGACTGCTGAGATAGAAAAAATGGTGAAAATGTGTACATTAATGAGCAAATAAATAAGCCATATTTAGAAATATAAAAAATATTAATCTCTATTTCCGTCTCCCCCATTTTGTGTCATAAAAACTGTGCAGATGTCCCCAGTAATAGGTCTCCGTCATATGTCATAGAACAAAACCAGGATTTACACCTCTAAATACGTAGATGATCACCAGAATAGCTTCCTGGTATATGCTGAACACTGAAATCCTAAAATAAAAAGGTCATTTAAATAAATCTGGTTGATTACTATAGGAATACAGTGAATGACTTACGAACAAAGTCCCCTGAGGACTTGGAAGTTGCATTTTGTGTGAGCAAAACCACTTACTCTCTGAAGTTAGCATAGTGTACAAGGCACAGTGGAGAGTCAGATTACAGCTAGTGTAATGTGGTGCTTTATGATTGCCTGCTTCCACCTTTAGCAGCTTTTCTGGATGCAGTGTCTAGATCTATCCAGTGCTGCTAAGAAATTCTTGGCCGTTCTTTAAGCAATGAAATAAGCGGAGCTGCTTTCCTGTGAGTTTGTAGCTCATGACGGAAGTCTTAGATGCCTGTTATGGTTGGATTCTTTTGTATGAATACCAAGTGAAATATTTTTATACAGTTGTGGAATTTCTAATGCTTCCTGCCTGTGTGGATTATTTAATGCCGAAGAAGGGTGAAGTTACACTGATGCCTTGCGGAGGCATTGTTATGGTCCTCCTTATCTCTCTCGCTTCCTGATTCCATGAAACTTTTAGGAAGGTAGCATCTCTGAGAGTTTTGAATTGTCTGAATTTGACCAGGAATCTGAAAGTTACCGTGGAAGAGAGTGAATGGATGCAAGCACAGATGGACAGCATCATGAGATGAACTTGCTTCCTTCAGAGCAGGCAAAAAAGCATCCCATCTAGTGGGAGAGGGCTTTAACATGTGAGACGACTGCATCCTCTATGCCCTTGTGAGATCCTGTAGAGCTGTTTGTCAGCAGTATCAGAGACCACAGTGAAGCAATCTCATTTTCTTTTAAAGGCCATCAGCCAGGTTAATGTTACTTAGGGGTATGTTTCTTCTGTGGAAATAGGGCAGGAATATCCAAAGTCTGATTTCTTGATTGTCTAGGCATCTTCCAACAGATTGTCATGGAGCCATGCATTAACCTGTAATATTTTTGTTTAATTTAAGACATTAATGTCAGAATGTCATATTAAGTTCATTTTAATCTTGTTAGGAGAGACAAATCCTTTTCAGTAACATACCTTACAGAATGCACACTAGGAAGCTAATCTGCTAGGAATTGGAGAAGATAAAGGGGAGCTTCAAGCCCATCTACGGTGTATAGCAAGTACAGGTCTTGATATAGATTTAGTGACTTGCTGTTTTATTAAACCAAGTCATGGGTGATTAAAAAAGAAAGTATCCAACATTTTCACTAAACAGAATGATTGTTATGTTTACTGTGAAGCTCAAAAGCTGTTAAGTGTGAAGAAGAGTTATAATGGGGTAGCCTAGGAGGTGAATGTGCAGAACTTTAGTCCTCTGAGGTAGTAACTTGCACACATGCCTTACCTTAGGGTAAGTGTGAGGTGTATTTACTCTCTGACAAAGAGTAGATCCAGCAACCTGGACGTTTGCAGCTTGTTGGGTGGGAGGATGTGTGGCATGCAGTGCTCTTCATTGGTCTTGATGAATGCAACGTTGCAGTGAATTCAGAATGTGAGAGGCCAGTTGTTGTGTGCAGGGTGGTGTGAGTGACACAGACCTGTCTGCCTGCCACTCCTGAACTGCAAGGTAACTGCTGCCAGTCTCTCGCCTTGCAACAGTCTTGCCGATCTTTCAGCAGCTACCAAGCACAGTTGCTGTACCCACAGCAGTGACGCTTGCAGCTAAAGAGAGATCATTGCTTGGAACGCTGTCGCAATTGCAAGCTGTCATTTCACTGTGTCTTCTGACGTATTACACAAGAAGAATCTGCAGAATTTGGTCATGCTATGAATGTGAGGTGCTAGATGAATCTGAATCTTAGATGGTTGTACCCCATGCTGTGACTGAGGAAAGACAGGGTGGGAAGGTCTAGGCTGACGTACAGTGCTAGGACTGGGAAAAAAAAAAAGAAAAAAAAAAAAAGAAAAAAAAAAAAGGGAGAAAAATTAGCCCTGTGCCTCAGCTCTATTTTGGAGAGGCAGATGCATCACCTGTAGGGAGCTACCAGAGAGATGAGCTGAATTAGAGATGTCTGTCGTCTTCCAGCTGTGAAATCACCATCACCCAAATACTCCAAACATATATTCTAAATAAAAAAATAATCCTCAAGGTCTTCAAGTTTACTGGTCTTCACATCCCACTCATATCGTTTGGCTTAGTTCAACTTTGCTGGCTGAGAGACTGCTAAAACGGCAGGGTGTCTCAGTCTGAAGTGACACAGGTTTCTTTTGTGGAGAGATATGAAAACTTCTGCCCTGGTTTGCTGAATTTAGTCAAAACTTGAGGAAGTGCAGAAACTGGTGAGCATTTTGTCAGCATCTCTTGTAGATTGTACTACCTGCCCTGTTTGTCTACACAGATAAAACAAAATGAGAGGTGTCATGATTCTCTGATGTTTGGATGTTCTGGCATAGCAGCAGGAAATGGGGCAGAAAAAGGAATTACAGTTTAAATAACTTACCCACTGAATAAACTAGATTTCCAAGTATGTCTTCTCCCTCCAGCCTAAGTCTTGTGCCTTTGTATGGCTAGGTAATGTTGTAGGAAACTTTTGAAGGGAGACAAACCTTGAAATAGATGGAAAATATTTTGAGTGCTGTATTTGTTACCCTGTCTCTGTAATACTTATTTTTATCTCTTACAGGAACCATGTTTAATGAAATGGCAAAATGGGTAAAATACGACAACGAGACTGGCATTTACTATGAGACCTGGACAGTACAAGCAAGTCCTGACAAACAATCTATAGTATGGTTTGACTCCTACGAATGCTCTAAATTTATCTTGAGAACGTACCAGAAGCTAGCTGACTTAGGAGCTGTATTTAAGACGACACAAACAAACTATACTAGCATAATTTTATTCAGTGGAGAACCTATCTATTTGGGAAATGAAACATCTATTTTTGGACCTCTAGGAAACAAAACATTGGCAGCAGCTATAAGAGACTTCTACTATCCATTCAAACCTCATCGGACAGTTGGAGAGTTTTTTGTGGATCTTTTAAAAATAATTGATCGTGTCATCTTGAATCAACAGTTTTACCTCTTCTACAACTTGGAATACTGGTTTTTACCTATGAAGTTCCCTTATCTCAAAATAATTTATGAGGAGGTCCCTTTACCTATTGGAAGCAAAACATCCTTCGGTGTGTAATTGCTTAGTGAAGAACCAGACTTGCCCTTATGCCAGAATACCCTAAGGATTGTGGAGCGCTACCATAATGGTATTAGTGTTCTGTGTTTCACTGCTAACTGTAAAAGTTGTGTTGGGAAGGCTTTGCTAGACCACATGAAAGACTATGCCTCCTTTTTCTTATTACCTGCATAATACGTTCCTGAATGCTTCACCATCTCTGACTTGGCCAGCTTCTGTGTAACCATGGACACCTGCTGCCTGAAGGTAGGCTGATATGGCTCCTCTTGACTAAATTCTGCAGTGCTGGAGGGTGAATGGGAGGCAGCCCGCCTACTCTGGTCTCGGGCACTCTCCATATATGTGGCTACACAGCGACAGATAGGACCTGGCCACCAACAGAGATGGGACACAAGCGTTACAAGGACCTTCTGGTCTGACCAGCTCTTCTGATGTGTGTGTTGGAGCTAACAAATCTGAGTGCCTGGGTGCGCCCAATTCTCTCAACGTGTGCCTTAGATTGGTGTTTCTGTATTTCTTTGGCTTGTACAATTGGGACCTATGAACTGTTCTCTGGTTCATGAAGTAGGTGTTCAGCAGCGTGGGAAGGGGCAGAGAATGTATCAGAATGGTGACATGGGTGGTATCTTGTCACCATTTTGCTTCCTTTACCTGCACTGTAAACACAACACAGGTGGCTCTTCCTAAGACTTGTGTGTGAGTTTTCTAGCACAGATGGAAGGCAAACAGCCTGTTTTGATGTCAACTTTGATGCCTAACTGCAGTCTTCTAGCAGTCTCCTGTCTTAAAGTCTACTTGAGGCTTCAATTAGGTCCGTTTCGTAGAAGTCGTTTATATTCCTTTTGCATTTCTTTAAAAAGAATGGAATAAGCAATGACAGTTTGTGGGGTGTCAAAGTCACAGTTAAAAATCAGTGCTGATCACAGATTTGCCTGTAAAAAGAAGCTTCAGCCTCTTACTGGCAGTGATGTTTGCGGTCATGGTGTTGTGCCAGCTGCAGTGTCCTTTAATCCTGTTCCTGACTGCCTAGAGCAGCTTGGCAGCTAGTTCCCTGTAAACCCAACTGACCAAAGCCAAGGGAACGCTGGCTTTCTGGACAAAAAATGGCTTTTCTGCACAAAAAACACCATCTGCAGCAGCATAATCATCTCTGTCCACTGCTCACTTTTTTTTTTTAAACCAGTTGCAGAATGAGTAGCACTCCTGCAGAGGTTATTACTGTATCATGGCTAAGTAGTAACACAGGAAACCAACTCTGCAGTTTCATTTGGTTTGAGCCAAGTTAATAGTCTGCTGCAGCCAAAGAGGGGAGTACACAGTGATTTGACTCAAAGCATAAGAGTGGCAGAAAATTGACCTTGTATTAAAAAGTCACTAAAATTAATTAGTTGAATTGCATTATCATGTAATGTGATAAGAATGAGCGGTAGTGTGAGAAGAAATAGGTGATGAGAGCACCTCTGTTCTGCAGAGGAAAGCTGCTAATTAGTTCCACTGTTACGTGAAGCTTCATCTTCTACCTCAACTTGAAAGACACTACTCTTTGCAGCCGAAGTCACAAGCCCTTGCTTTGACTGGTTGAGGTTCAGCTTCTTTAGATTACCCACCAAGAAGGTAATCTAGGAGGCACTAGGGAAGACAAAGGGGAGAAACAAGCCTGTCTTCAGAAGGTACGTTCTTGTTGATGCATTTTTTTTATGATTTTTGAAAACCTCAACATTCTTGAATCCACATTTGTCTTCTCAGGAAAAAGCCTCAACCTCAAAACCAGTGTCCAAAGCTCTGAAGGGGAAGTAGGATCATGGAACCAAACCAGTAGAAGCCCCAAAAGCTTCTTCTCTAGCATTTGCTAAAAAGCTTCTAGAATTGAGAGACCTTTCAGAGCCTGAAGCGGATGCCATGGCAGGGTAGGTCGTGCTCCCTCCTTGCAGAGTAGACCTCTCTGCTCAGCCTGACAGTGCCGTTCGTTCACTGTACAGTACTTCCTTGTCTTCACACGGGACCTAGGCAGCCTGTGCACCAAAGTCATTATTTTCCCCTAATAGTTGGAGTTTTTTGTGATGCATAGAAGAGCCTTACAGAACTGGAAGTGCCAAATCCTGAAATAGATGGCTAATGGAAGCTGAATCCTACATGTCAAAGCTGCCTTATGCAGCTCCCAACAATCAGAAAGATGGGTGTTTGTGGACTGGTAATATCTAGAGAGGTTATACAAGAAGGTAAAAACCTTCATGATTATTAAAGAGCTTGATCAAAAATAGTGTATGCCTGTATGAAAGAGGTAATCCCTTTTTAAGTCTGTGGTCAAATGTAACTTCATGATTCTATCAGTAAAAGTTTATAATAACCTGGGATTTTTGTACCTAAATAACACCTCTTCTCCCTTTTCCTATTTCATCTGTACAACCCCACTTAATTTAGCATGTTTTACTCTAACCCTAATACTCTGGATAGTACAGGGAGTTGCTTTGAGGAGGAACAGCTACATCCTAGCATGTATTAGTTGCAAGTTGGAGGACAGTAAATTTCTGGCAACAAAAAAAGATGAAGACAACTGGACAGTTTTGTCAAGGGTACTGCATCCCTTCCAGGCAGAAGCAGAAAGAAGCAGCCCTTTGAAACAGAATCTGTGTGTGTGTTCAGCAGTAGGTCACACTGGCAATCATTTGACAATTCCTTCATGCAGCCATGTGCGTTTGCAAGTCTGTTCTGCACTTCGGAAGAAAGAGGAACTCTATCTTCAGTCCAAAGGTACTGATTATCAATGGGGTTGCCCTTTCTTTAACACACATTAGTTCCTTCTGGGCACAAGTGTTGGGGAGAGAGCCCCTTGCTTTTCTTTGCTTCTCTCAGTTTGGGAGTTTTTCTTCAGAACCTTAAAAGCCAACTCTTCAGGCTGAATGCACAGCTGGGTGGGAATAAACTCCACCAGCGCAAATAGCAATGCTGGAAGAGGTGGAGTTGTTGAAGTTGCCTAATTACTGTGCTGGAAAGAGTTTCATTGGCGTTTAGAATGAAGTTATCAAGTGCAGTGCTCTCTTGTAGGCAGAATCCAGAATTCTTGAGTTAGGCCTATAGAGTTAGATCCAAAATAGCACTGTAGTGATGAGTAGGCTACTTCTGTGTAGACGACACTTTTGCTACTTAAAAAGCAAACGTTTATGGTATCTAACAGCTTCTGTACTCCTGATGATCTTTCGTTATTGTTTGTGCCTGAAAACTGCCCATCTGCCTCAAGCATTTGAGGTGGACATATTCCGGCTGAAAGTCACACTTCAGTCCCCTGCTGAAAGGGGAGCAGAAATATTAGGATCACACCTAAAGTTCTGCTCACAACCAGCTGCTATTAACGCTTTGCCTGATGGTAGGAACCAAGGGACTGTCGTACCTGCTGGGCTTGAGGATAAACTACTTTCTTTTTTACTCATCATTGAATAGGTCATATATAGGTGAATAGGTCATTGAGTCATGACTTACTTATGCTTTGAATACAGGAGTTATTGGTCACTGTAGACTGCTTGGTTCTGCTCCCTGCTTCTCTGCATCTTGCAGTTAAAGGTAAAAATACACAATCATTCTGTAATGTGAAAAAATTTGAAGTCTGCACAGTGGCCTTGTGCTAAGCTGCTTAATTTTCGTACAACTGAGCTACGCAGGGCTGTAGCCTGCACTTCATCCCAGGAGGGCTTTCAAGCAAGGCAGTTCCTGGCTTGTCATATATCCAAGGTCAAATAGAACATGCAGCTCCTGTACCTCAAAGAGCCATGCAATGAAAATAGCTGGTACAAATGCTTTCTTGCCTTCTTCCGCACAAACCCGCTCACAAGGCATCACAAGAGTCCTCCTCCTTACTGACATGGCAAAGCCTGACAGCTGAGCTTCATACAGGACTCTACCAAAATGGGAAATTATTCCATCATGTTGCAAGACTGGCAGGAACAATTTTTCCCTCTGGAAGGGGCAAAGCTGTCCCAGTTCCTCAGGATTTTTGCAAGGAAGTACCAGGAGGACTACAATCGAAAGCACACCACAGTCTCCATTTCAAAGCATGTGAGCTGCAGCAGATGTGATCCTACAATAGAAACCTAACAAAAAGGATGAACAGGTAGACATACATACAGAACATCTAAGGTTAATTGTGGCTTCACTGTCCTAGTTTTGATACTATTAAACTTCAATCAGATCTCCAAGGAGCTTGTTTCTACAGCACCTGTATTTTAGGAAAATTAATTTACAGTTTGTACTCTGAACTACAGACTCTGAAGTTCAAAGGCTCTTTAAGATTATGCAGTTTTCCTCATTAAATCCACACTCTAGTTTTATATACAGCAGCAGCAGTTCTTTTTCACACTTTCACATGCAACCAACTATAGACCAGCCAGAGATGAAGACAGATCTCTCTGAAGTAATGCTACAGAATTCAGGTTTTAGTCAGGCCTACTTCAAATACAAAGAGGCCCAGTTGAACCTTGCTTTAAGTTCACAGGAAATTAATTTGGTGCACATCAAACTTTCAACAATTGGAATAGATACAGCTGATTTATACCTATGTAGTTAGATCAGTTTGCAGAACACTTGTGAAAGTTCCTGACTAAAAATCCCTAAAAAACCCACTTAAATTCAGAAGTTTGTAGTTTTAGGTAAATTGCAGGAAACTACAAAGTTAATGTAAGCAGCTGCTCTTCAATTACCTTTTCACATTTGATACATTTTACAGTAAGCTAGCATAACTGGCCAGGATTACCCCAGCTGTTTGACTTCAACAGCTTTTTCAAGAGTCATTTTATATCCAAAAGCTGAAGTCATGTAGCACTTGTGCTCAGAGTAAGATTTGCCACTGCACACATTAACAACTCCTACCCAAAAACCAACCATGCCAACACTGGATTACCTTCTTCTGAGAACACGAAAGAAAGGTGAACTCAGGGGTAAAAATGACATTACACAGCTGTGAGACACCCATGTTTCATATTTCTAGTGAACTTCACAACAGCCTATGGTACTCGTTACTACCAGTGTCACAGGTTTTTAAATTTTTAAAGAATTACTCATTTTTTCTAACACGTGTAGAAAGCAAAATAAGAATTGTGCAAGATTTATTAAAAAGGAGCATTGTAGCTTTTCCTGAAGCTGCTTGGAATACAGGCTTGCCTGGGAAGTTTGTTTTATAGCTGGATTATTTAAGGTAAGGATGCTGTAATTGGCTTGATGTATAAAAACTGCCAACCATCAGCGGAAGAGGCAACTGCTTTTGGGCAGCTCCCTTACCCTTTGATTGGCATTTTGATAACTGGTACAACACTGCGCTGCATGTACAAAGGACTGTTTCAAGTCTGTGCCCCAAGGTGGAGACCTTCTTAGAAAAGGCTGGGGAAAGCAGTTCCACCACGACTCCGCCTAAAGCCTTCACCTGCTAAGATGTTCCCCCACCTCAGGATGTGACGGCAGTCTCTCTGTAGGAAGCAGAACGCTGGGTTTCAAAGACGTGAATTCCAGAGGCGAGGGAACTGGGGCATTTAGGTTGCATCTTGCCTTTCGGTTATCCACGCTACCACAGCGGTAAGCGACAGACCAACTTACCTTGCTAATGTCAGGATACCAGCAGTCAAGGGCCAAGTAGCTGCATTACTAATGAGATTACTTCAGACATTAATTTAGTGAAAACACATCCTCTTCTCCAGATTAGTAGTGTTAGTCCACCTTTATCACACAGGCAATTCCGAGAGTCAGAATATAAAAAAAACCCCAAACACTGAGCTTTTTTACTTTTACAGACTAAATGTATTGACAAATTTTATACAAATAAAAGCAAATTAAAGTATTACATTAACAAATTCTAATACAAAAAAATGCATATTTCATAAAATGCGATTTTTAAATCAAAGGTCTACAGAACCGTACAACTCTCCTATACAGATGTCCAGTCCGCTGAGAAATGTTTGCTCAAAATACAGTTATGAACTGTATTACACTTAAACTATACATTTGGATAAACATTACTGAAATCAGAAATAAAGAAAATCTATTGATCACACCTTTCAAACACATTCAGCAGTCACATGAATACTTTAGTGTTACCAATCAAAAATGGAAAAGAGAAAATAATGTAACTGTTGGCGGTAAGAAATGAAGTCACAAGCCACATCCAGATCACAGGCAATATGTTGCCTACACCACTTTACAGACTAAAAACTTTCTTTAATAAAACTGATTTACCAAATATTCAAAACAAAATTTTGCCTATTGCTCTACTTCACGCAAATTTACTGCTTTTAGGTTTTTAAATATTATGAAGTGATCAAACTACCTGAATTAAAGGTATACAAAATGATCAGCTATCAAACATTCACTTTATACATAAACATTTCTGGAACAGATTTACAGTATACAATAACTAGTTTATACAGCTTAAGCAACTGTTACAATGTCATTTCTCTCAAACTGAAAGCAGCCAACAGGTCTAAGATTTTGTTAAAAGGTTCTTGGTCACCGTCCAGATTTTAACCTTCTTGTCTCACATAGTTCCCATCCATGTCATAGCATTTAACACTGCAGGGTTCATTTCATAAACTGTGTATTATTCCACTTAACCGTATGCTGCAAAACTGGTTACTGTGCAAGAAAAGCTCATTAACTCCATTGTGTTTTTAAATACAATGTATCTACATTTTTCCCCAGAATGCTTTCGCTTCCTGAGCTAGACATAAAATACCTTAAAACAGGTTTAGACACAGATCTGAGACGCCATGAGCAAGCTACATTAAAATGCATAGAGGGAAATAAAAATAATAATAATAATAATAAAAAAAAAAATCACACCACTTTTGGTAGCTCGCACGACTATCTGTTTGCATACATTTTAGATGGATCTAATAATCTGTTGAGGAAGGTAGCAAACTTAGTATTTTAATTACCTAAACTATATTATTGTGTATTGCTCTTGCCTTTTATAACTTTTATATAAAAGAACATGTGTATTTCACAGCCTACTAAATGTTCCTTATAATCCTGTCACCTAGGTGACTGGATTGAGGAACGCTATAGTCTGCAACAGAAGCATGCAATTTCAGTGGGGTTTTGTTTGTTTTTTTAGGATCAAATCTGATCATGTTCTAGTATCTAAATCAAAGAAGGACAGTATATTAAAACTGGTATTTTGCAGGTACATTTCAGTATTTTACATACTTTTTTTATTTCCGTAGAAGTTTGAGGTCATTCAGTGAAAAAGAACACATTTAAAACAGAAAACAGATTTTTGTTTGGATGAAAAGAGGTTTTTGAGCCATCCATGATTTCTATTTTTGAATTTGGATTTCATAAATCATTTTCTGAATGAGAAATTAATTTTCTAATCAATGAAGTCACTTACAGTAAAAACTATAGTATTAAATAGGCTTATACAGTAAATTGCAATATGGTAAGCTTGGGTTTAAGGTGCTATTTCATCCGCCCTGAAGTCTCACAAGGACTTTACCACGTGGGCATCATGTCCGGGAACCAGACTCTACCAAGATGCTTTGAAACCTCCCAGTGAATCTGCTCCAAGCTGTATTTCTGATCAGGAATCAAAACTTCCTCCATGATAGAAAGCTGAGAGAGACGACCCCCACACATCTTCACGAACTCCACGAAGGCACTGCAAGAGACTTCACATTCTCCTAGGCCAACGGCCGACAGATACTTGCAACGTTCTGCAATACGGATCAGCTCCTCATCCAGTGGCCGCAATCCATTGGCGCACACCACCAGTTCAACTAACCGAGGACACGTCATCCCAACGCGGCCAAGTACATCTTTGCTTACTGATCTTCCAAAGTAAAGGTGAGTGACAGGTATTTCGTAACGAAAGAATGGGTCAAACTCTTCTTCGTACAAGAAAAAGTACATTACTAAATTTACTTTAGGAGAATGCTTGATGAAAGCGTCCCAGCTGCTCTTCTGAATCGTGTGGAACTGAGTCTGTCCAGGATTTTCACTGACAACATCAATGCGCAAGTGTTCTAGCCTGACGTGTTTTTCAGAAGACAAAGCAAGCAGAAGCTCATCACTCAGCAGATGGTAGTTCAGCGCCAATTCACGTAAACCATGACACTGGTCAGCCACGCAAAGGATACCTGGGAAAGGGGATTATTATGGAAGGGGTTACACAGATAAATATACTAATAACTGAACAAGAAAAATAAACAAAGTCACTCTTACATCTCTCAAGAGGGTGCAAAGACCATGTATTTCAACATGCAATCTAGACCTGAGATCAAAGCAAAATTGTACCAGACAACCAGAACATGTATCTTTTTCACATAAGCATAGTCTTGTGACTTCGTACCTACACGGTTAAGATACATGTACACTATGCTACTCCATCGTTGTTTTGTTAGGGAAACATAAAGAAGTTAACACATTGCACTGTTTACTTTCCTGTGGTAGTTGATTCTCATGTGACAAACATAAAAAGCAAGACGTTTCTGCTCTCTTGTAATGCCACATATACTCAAATTCATTTTTGTAAAAGGGGTTTACTCATAATAAAAGTATTTCCCTAGCCTGCTCTGGAAGAACTGCTGTCCTCTGTGGCTAACAAAGCAGCCACGAATGACATCTGTCACCTGAGGAAAGCAAATGTAAAACGAATGCTGGATTTTAATTAAATACAGAAGTTGCTGCTGTCAGTATATGTTCTTTCTAGCAGAGTATAAATATTTAGATTTTGAAAAGCAACAGCAGAGAAGAGGGAAAACACTAAAAATTGGGAGCAGTAATTCCTAGAACAGTGATTTTCATCCTTTACCTTTAATGAGTCAATGTAACCTGCTGCTCATGGAAGACAACGACATTAACAGAAATAATTCAGTTCAGTCTATAAGGTTTCCACTCATCCCATTTCCAGACAGAAGCAGTGGTACCGTGCTGGTAACAGTATTAAAGAAAAAAAAAAAAAGCACTGCTTTTTTTAGTGCATACAATCCTCTGCATTTCATGGGACCCAGAAAACTGCGTGAAATTCAGGATATGGTCTTTCTATTAATAGAGGAGATGAGAACATCACTTTTAATATGGAACTGAAACACCTGAGCTCAATACACTATAGCTTGAGGCAATGGGAAGAAGTAGAGAGAGAGAGCAGTTATTTAAAGATGCAGTTATTAAACTCAAAAGCCTATAATTGAGCCTAAAAAACTTCCTTTAAAAAAATTACTGTAAAATTATTGCATTGCATGAATATATACGCCAAAAAAAGTATGTACTTTCTACCTGAGGATCTGCAAGAACACATGCATCAGAAGCTCTTCTAACTACATCAAATACTGTCATTTCAAATATAAAAAGTTTGTTAAATAGATTTTAAAAAGCAGAATTTAGGTAAACAGAATTTTAACCCAACTCTTATTGCAACTATTTCCTGTAAAATCAGTTTGTATATATAAGCCTGCTCATTATTGCACTCAGGGAGGGGGTGGGGGCATGGTATCCCAGATGAAATAAAAATCCAGGATTTTTTTTTTTTTTTTTAAATTTGGAGTACAAAATTAGAACAACCAAGTATAACTACAAACTTGCATATACCTTCTACACATTCCAGAGATCATTTCCTGTCCTTAAATCATAACAAAGTTATTCTTGCAGCAGTAAGGGCTACTATGACCACTCCATTTAAGCAGACTGAGGCATGTTGCTTCATAATACCGCTTCATAGTATTTTAAAGAGAGTGTATCCTGCATATAGAACTGACAATGACTACAGCCTAGATAGTGACAGGAGGGCCTGCCTGGAGCCTGTGCTGCCAGGGTTACATTCACAGAATATCCCTAGGCGCTGCCTCTGCCTTTGTGGCACCAAGAGGTAAATCGCTCTGATATCATACAGCATAGATTTGCATCAAAAAAAACCCTCTACTAAACTGCTGATGCAGACACACCCTACATCCATGCTTCTCCCCTACCCTCCAAAGAGAAGCAACCCTCCCACCCTTGAGGTGGAGCAGCTTTTACAGAAATGCTTTCAGCTCCCTCTGTGCCAACAGCTAATATTTCAGGTAATAAACAACAGTACATCAATGTGGATTTTTAAATAACCATTATTTTGTTTCACAAGGTACTGCTGCAGTTCTAATGCAAGTTAAAGTTCAGAGGGGAAACAGCAAGCAGAAGAAACTTCAGAGCTGTTCACAAAGATGAGAAATACACCACTGCCTTTGTTTCTCCAGCTCAAACCCAAACATGCCTCTTTATGTCTGTACAGTAACTTTTTGAAGCAATTCACAGTTTGATATCTTTTCCCTTTATCCCCACAGTAGTGGAATCTCTCTTGCACTACTTGCATTACTCTCTGTCCTTCAATAACAAAATCCTTAAGAACTAATCTAGTACTGAATGCTACTCCCACCCTGCAAATTGCAATGTGAAGGCATGTTACACAATTTTAAGTGCATCTATAAGTAATTAGTTTTGCATAACTCATGGCCCTTTTGGTTCAATTAAAGTTGGCTGGTGAACATTTTGCTGGACAAATCTGCTGCAAAACAAACCTGCATTTTCAGGACTTCTTCATACAAAAGCAAACAAAAGGTTTTGTTCGGGAGCTACACACCTGCAAAAGGTATTAAGTTTGTGTTTTGTTATCACTACAGCAACAAGCCCTCTGCTACACTATCATCTTCCCCACATATGAAGAGTCCTGCTGGTGTATTTTACATATAATATACCTAATATTTAGAGTTGCAATATATTTGCATGAGGAAAGCTATGGTGACTACAGCAGTTTCTACTTATCCTCACTAGAGGAATTTAACTAAGTTGCCAGCAACTCATTTATAATTCCTCTTCCATTTTTCAGTGCAAAACTGTAAGTCTTAAGTTGACAGGCTGTGAATCAACCTTACACTTGACGTGCATTGCATAGATCTTCCACAAACATTAATTCTATGAACTTCAACGATCTGAGTGCTTTCATTCTGATACAAGCTGGCTTCATTCTGCTGCAAACACCCTTAAGAGTGTTAATGAAGTATGTTTGGTAATCGCATAAGTTCTGCACAGCTCAGTCTCATCTCCCCTTTTTTAATGCTGTCTGCACTGATCCTCCAGCAAAAGATTAAACTTCTTTCTGTCAGTATGACTAAACCAGCATCTTCATAATCCATGACACTGCAACACTCAAAACCCATACATAATGAGCTGCGGAAAAGGAACTCACATTCCAAAAAGCTTAGTTATACTGGAATACTTGAATACTTACTGCAGAAGTAGTACACCATCAAGTCAACACATACTCTTTTAAGTTCCACAAGATGTTAGTTACTTGTCCAGAACAGACATGCACTATTTTATTATTAGCTCAGTAGTCACACCGCAAGTGGTGGGATGGATGGATAGACCACCAGTTGAATTAGTATTTTATTCATTGACAGTTGCTGTAAGTACCACATTCATCCTCACTCTCACGCCACCCCTATTTTTTCCAGAGGTGTACTGGGTTTCACACAGAATTGAATGCATACATTTAAAAAACAAAACAAAACAAAACATAATAGCTTACCAGCTGGAGAGACATGAGGACAACTGCTCATTTTCAACAGTTTGAGCGTGTCACTGTTGTTAGCCACTAGCACTTTGAGAGATGGATCATCTACTGGTGTATCGTCAATCTTAAGTGAAGAGAGGGATTTGGAGTTTACGAACACCACTGTCAGTGCAGAAATAAAGTGAGACTGGGGAAAAAAAAAGTCTGAATGTAACAATAGTATTTGAAATAAAAATCTCAATGGTTTTACACTGTACACAGCAGTCCTAGTTTTCTTTTAGTTATTGACAGCATTTGCTGAAAAAGCATTCATTGTGTATCGCATAATTAAAATTGAATACTAAATTGGGCATATTTTTGATTAGAGGAAGTATAATCATTTTTTGCTATCAGTCTATGTATTTGGCAAATCAGAATGTTTAACCTTTAAATATAAACCAAGACTCTGACCCAGGACGATTCACTACACAAGCTTAAATCTATAGGAAGACCACAAGCAAAGAGAAAGCCTACAAACTCTAATTTTGAGGATAGTTTGCAAGTGGCACTCCAAGAGAAGCATCCTCTAGAACAGCAATTTCCAGGTGGTGAGCTGTGCTGCATTGGCGAGATACAAACATAGGCAAGAGTGGCGACCCTGTGCTGTTAAGATGTGCCCAAAGCCAAATGGTGCTACTGCCTGCCTACCACCCACAGAGAGTACTTAGGGTTTGAATGGATTTATCTTGGAATACTACTGGAGCAGTACAAACAGAGCCAAGGAGCAGGTGATCAATTAATTACTGATAAAGCAGTATAGATAATGTAGGTCCAGTGCTCAAGGTTGCTCCTCAGGATTTTTATGTACCCACTGAAACTTACCAGTAAAGACAGAGCCCAAGAGACCTTAACTTGAGAAACACAGACTAAGGAGCAGGTACAGCAGTACTTGCAGAAAGCATTGGTGGTATAAAGGAAGTGAATAACTAGGTTATCTTCATGATTTCTTACAAAACTGACTGAATAGAAGACTTAAAAAAAGTACTTCCTCCACGCACTACATCAAGTATCCCATAAAATTACCTACTATGATTTCAATACTGTTTCACTCTGAGCCACATGCACATGTAGAATCCTGCAGTTACATGAGAGAAGGCCTGGCAACAGTGTTCACTCATTCTTATGTGGTATGTTTGTGGTTTTTGCTAAAACTCACACACAATTAAATTTTGAGCAGGAACTAATATAACAAACTGTCAAAGTCAGTTCATGCAAACGGAAACAGAAAGTTCAAATCAGAAGCATTACGCATTTTGGCTTTAGGGACACTCCCAAATATACTGACAATATACTGACTATATATGTTATGTACAGAAGAAAAGGTGGTTTAATAGTATTTCTACTTTGCATTCCAAAATCGTCAGTACTGTGGTTTTATTCTCTGTATTTAGAATGTATTTCCCTTCACTAAGGCTGTTAAACAGAAAGGCAAAGAAAGTTAACCACATTTACAAAAACAGGTAACTGTTTTCAAATGTAATTTGAAGAGCTAATGGAATACAGGCAATATCCCAAAATGTAAAAGCTGGTGATTTAATGTCTTTTCAATGTCACCACATATGCAGCCTATAGTACGAATCTTTAAAAGATTCACGTAGAGTGTGCTTAGTGAAAAGACTAGGCAACACAATGCTAAATGTGATTTACAAATATTTGCCAGATGTCACATTACTTGAAATCAGAAGAGCAATGATGAAGATAATGCAAAGTAATTCAGACCTCCTATACAGTCTGATAAAATAGTTGTGTAGTGTTAGCTATTTTTCAGATTGATTTATCCCTGCCTGCTTCTCACCCAATGGGCCTGTTACTAACTGCTTCCCACAAGAACACAATCATGGTCCAATTCAATTTTTTTAGTTTCATTAGTGGTCTAAGAAAATTTTAAAATCATTGTTGGTCCCATATGCCAATGACAATATTATTGGAGTGGTAAACTTCAAAAGGCGAATTATGCCTAGAGTTGATTTTGGCTCATTGTGAATATATTTTTTAAAGGAACAGATTAGGAACATTTTCTAAAGGAAGAGATTAGTGAACCTATTAGGAACAAAAAAAGGAAGCCTGTATTTCAGAAGCCTTGAAGCTGAATAAGACCATTTGACTACAAATAATTATTCAGCAAGCTGAATAGGACCATAACATATCCCTCCAGTGAAAACCAAGAGAGCCAAAACAGCATTCAGATTAAGAAAGAAAACAATATGGAAGAGCTGAAAGGACAAAGCATTTCTAACACACTGAGAGTGTGGATTGTTTTCACTATGTTCATGCTTTCTTACAGTCATATCTCAAAGCACATCAAAAAAGGAAAAAAAAAACCCATACAAAAATAGTTAAAGATCTGAAAAGCCTCTTTGGAAATTAAGGATTTAAAAGTACATATTCAACAGAACTACATGACGTAGCTGTGATCACTGCCAAGGATAATAATTGATAATCCTTCTGTAGCTAACCTTGCTTAAACCCTATAGCCTACTTCCTTCCCTGAGGCTGTCCCTAGTTCTTCTTTGTCACCATCAGCAATGACATCACCAAGATCCAGCTAGTAGTCTATTTCTATCTGGCCCTTTGCATACATGTGGACTGGATTCAAGAATTGAGGCTGTGAGGTATCCACGTTGTTCCTGCCATAGAACAAGCAGCCCATGTTACCCCAACCACTCTCCTGCTCCTCAGCAACA